AAAAATCCTATTTCGGGGGCTGGGGGGAGGGGGGGGGGTAGGTTAGAGGTCAACTTTTTTCAGGTGCCAACTTCTTTCAGTACCACTTTTATTGCATACAATACTACATTTCCCTTATATCACTTTACCATAGTATTAAAAGCTGGGGGGGGGGGGTGTTACCCAGCCTTTCAATGAACATTTTCAATAGTAAATTTATTGTTGGAAAAAGAAAGTGGCTACATAGTGCCTGTATAACTCTGAAGAATCTAAATCTCGCATTTTAATTTTAAAACATTGTTATGTCAGTGGAACATTATTAATGAAATATATAGATGTTTAACCTCTTGCAAATTTTTTACTCATATGAAGACGCCACCATTTGCCATGAAGGGCAATCTGATTATAATCAGATCTCTTTGTTGCTCCGAAATTCTTATAGTTGCTGTACAAGGTGTACAACAACTATCAGAATTTCGGAGCATAACAAAGATCTGAAATAAACATTAAGGTATGTAACTCGTGAAATTTATTAAATCAAGGATTTATTGAGAAGTATATTTTGGATAAGTACTCATATAGATGACTCAAAATCGCAGAGAAAATAGGGGGTTAGTGTTCATCTTATTCATCGACGGTATAATGAAGTTGACCTTTTTGCACTTAAATTTTAACTTTTTGGTTAATTACTTAAATCTTTATGATATTTTATCAGATGTAACCATGGCAAAACATATTATCTTATATTACGTAAAATATTTTGAATAATATTTATCATTGAAAAAATCTTGCAAATTAATGCGCGTAAATTATTGTGTGACCTTTTTGCACTAAAAAGTAACATATTTTGGGGTATTAAAACACTAAATAAGCAATAAAACAATTTCTTAAATCAAGCTTTTTACGACGTAAGTGCTGATCAGTCACAAGTATCGAGTACTTTAAAATAATGAAAGAAAAAGTTGGGATCAGTGATGTTAATTTTGAAATATTGGTCAAAATATTTGATTTTTAGGCAAAAAATGGTGTTAATTTTATATTGACTTATTTGACATATCTTCATTTTTTGGCAAAGTTTGTTGAGGGAAGGTGTAAAACTTGTTCTAAAAATATAAATTAAGACCAATATTAAATATTCCTAGCAATATCATAATGAAAAATATTCCCCGAGTAAAAGTATGTGAGGCTAAAAGTCCAAGATATTAAATTTAATAAATGTGCAGATTTGCAGAATTATCTGCTAAATATCCTTCCACCACAAAAAGTAGTCTTTCATAAATCTTGCTTCTTTGTAGCTTTTTGAGCATTTTTTTTTTGTTGAATGTTAAAACATTAACATTGTTGAAATTAAATATGTTATAAAAATTGAATTTTGATAAATAATTTTGAAGTAAGAGGTTCTGCGTGAACTTTTCTAAAAAGCTGACGAGTGACCTACCTTAAATGCAAGTTATTAAAAATACCAAGGTTAGATGTATTTGCATTTAGTAAACATGATGGCAGATCAGTCTGCAATTAAAGAATGTGCATTACGTGTGATCCAAGAAAAAGGGGAGGTCGGAGGTGGGGATATTACTAACCATGATTCAATAATGCTGAAAATCCTATTGTAAGGGTGGATTAACTGATGATTTCACGCGACTTGTCAGAAGGGGGATTTTCAATGCTAATTATTAAAAAAAAAAGACGTTCACGTATACATGTATATTCTCATAAAGAAAAAGCCGAAACTGAAAATTGTCTTAGGTTAAATATACATGTTATCAACAAAAATCAAATTAAGATAGCCGTCTTCTTTCAGAACCATCATAAGGCCAGCATTTTTTTATTTTTAGGTTTACGAACATCAGAATGAAAAAGTCCCGTAGGAGGAGGAAATAAAAAAAAAAAAAAATTATTTTTCTTGGATACATTATCGACTTTTTCTATATTAATTTTTGCTTCTTTTTTAATGCTCTTCTAACAGGCTCCTTGCCACTGGACACATAAGGGTTACAAAGGGGAAAATAGAACCCTTAATTGTTTACCATTTGGGGCCAGTGATTTAAATGATAAATCTTGTGATGTTGGACAAAATACAGATTTTAAAAAAAAAGAAAAGATTTTTTTAAACTCTTTCAATATACACATATATATCTTCATATTAAATATAATTTTTTAATATGTATTAGATGAATGTGTTGAAATTGTTCTAAATATACTTCAGACCTAAAATAATAATTCCTTTCTTAAAACAGAAAGGGAGTATTGGGGAGTAGGATGGAATTTTTTTCAATTAAGTGTAAAATAATTTTTCTGGCTGCCACAAAAGATACTACCTGCCTGTATATATTTGTAATTTTGTATATACTTGTTTTTAAATATTTGAAATATTTTGTTTCTTTAGGCAAAATTATAATTGTTTATTTCTTCATCAAATGGACTTAATCTCTCCCATAGTTTTATTCATTACATCTGATGCATAAGCAACCCCTTTCTGAAGAATGATGCTAAGACTGAAAGCTATAACAGAAACTTAAACAATGTCTCTGACAAGAGCTACCATGGGCAGTTTTAAACCTGTGGGAGGAAATTAATTTACAGACAGATGACAGATACTTTTGAATACGGATACATTATCTCACCAACATGTCATTGTGCAACAAAGTTGTCAGCACTTTATTTGTTCCCTGAATGAGTGAGACGTTTTGAATGGCACTCCTATCGATAAATATTTACATTAAACCAAGGTTTAGTGCTGCTATGGACTTGACAATTCTACCTTCGATACCCGCCATCATGCATTTTTTGAAACCGGAAGTACGAGTTTGTAAATTTGAAATCGCGATCCCGACTCAAATTTGACATCGGAAAGAAAAAATTCTGTTTTTCTTAATTTTATTTTTTTTCTGAAAATTCAAAAACTTGAGCGGCGGGTTTGTAAACCTAAAAATAAAAAAATGCTGGCCTAATAATGCATGAATAATGTCGTATGCAGTTAATTTATACATGTATGATGTATGTCCTCGTGTTTATTTTCTATTTACAAGCTTACACTGTACACACACACACACACACAAAAAAAAAAAAAACAAAGTGCAGAGCTGTGGAAAACTGCCGGTCATGCCGGCAAGACCGGCAAAAAATGCCTGTGACCGGTAAAAATGCTATTGATGTCGGCCCAAATGACCGACCTCTTTCTTTGTTAAAGGTTTTAGATTTTCCATTTTGATTTAGGCCTATCATCGGCACACTTCCCAGCTTAGTTATCGTACCTTATAAACGATTGCGTAATACTTTTTCTTTGCACAAGATCGAGGCTATAGGAAATGAAAGAGAAACCAGCATAGTTTCGCATGACCTTTTAATTTACCAATGGCACATAATTACGTAAAAAACATTAAAAAAATTAACTAGATAAGACAGGCTATATAGCTGGGTATGTGAAACATTTTGACAGAAAAAATTCAAACACGGTTGAGTAAAGCGGTAAACCTATAGTTCTTCCGTCGTTCCGACTGTCCCCGATTTCGTTTTTTTTCATCGATCATGTTCTTGATGTTGGTATCTTTATTATCGATGCACAGAGTTTCTTGGACTCATTTTCGAGGCAAAATATAATTCCCAAATGCATTAATGTTTAAAAAAAAATTACGTTTACTTTGCAGAATTATCATTCATTGTTACCTGCTAAAAGTGATGAAATCTAGTATTGTTATAAATGCAAAAAACGAAAACGGAGGAGGATGGACCTGGAAATGGAGACTTTTTGAATTGTTTTATTAAGTAAAGTGTACTTAAGAAAATAAATGTAATGCTTTTCTTTTTAATTTTGCAACTTACTATTTCGGACCGGCAAAAATCACTTCGGACCGGCATATTTTGTCTTCTTGCCGGTCCGAATGACCGACTATCTGAAAAAGTTTTCCACAGCTCTGAAGTGAATAAAAGAAAGCTATATCGTTCATTTAGAATTTTAAGATTTAATTGTGAGCAAAAAATTGGAATAATGGACTTCCAAGCTATAAATTATGTTTATTGACTTTCTTGATGAATCGTTTTCTCAGAAAAAGTAGCAAAATCAATGACCAACAATATTTCCAGTAAAGAAAATTAATTTTTAAATTTAGCGAAAATTAAACTCGCTCCACATTTTAAGAATAGCTCACAAAGGGGACAGAAGAGTAAGCTGTAGCTTTTTTTTCAGTTCAATTTTTTTTCGGGCTTAAACCATTGAAATCCGATAACGTCAAGTTGACGTCATAACGTCATAGCGTTATTTTCTTACGAAAACTACCTATATTTAAAGAGCTCTCTTGGAGAAATGGTTTAAGATAAAAACAAAAATTAAAATGACTTAGGAAGTGGTCACTCTAGACATGTTTCAAGAACAATTTCATTAGATTTTGGGACTGGGCAGATTTTTGCTAATATCGTACTTTCTTCTTTAATAAAGGTGCAGATATGCAGAATTTTCTGCTAAATATCCTTCCACTGCAAGAAATAGTCCCTCATAAATCTTGCTTCTTTGTGGATTTTTGAGCACTTTTTACATTGAATGTTGAACAATTGACATTGTTGAATTTAAACATGTTATAGAAATTGAATTATAATAAATAATTTGGAAGAAAGCGACTCTGCGTGAACTTTTCTAAAAAGCGGATGAGTGACATACCTTAAAGTAAAAACCAATAGAGCTTCAGTCTTGACAGAGACTTCTGGTTTTAAAGTGGTATATAGGAAAATATCTTTAAAAAATTTGTTTTCAAGAATGGTGAAGTTATACATGAATATGCTATGTTAATATGGTGGCATCTTCAAGTAATATAAAATTCAAGTCCCTATCACCTTCCCTAAACTTTTCAATACTGAGTGATTTGTGTTGTGTCAGGTGAGCAATGTGGCCCATAGGCCTCTTGTTTGTTTGTTGGGTTTTTTTTTCTAATGAAGAGGAGTGGATTAGAGTGATACAGATGAGCATTGTGGCCCATGGGCCTCTTATTCTATATTTCCTTTCTTTGATGGTTTTGTGTATTTTACAGAGGTTCGGTTTCAGTGGATGGTAGAGGCATTGGGATGGAAAGACCAGCAGTCCTTGAGAAAGATGATGATGAATTTGATGCCTACAGGAAGAGGATGATGCTGGCATATAGATTTAGACCAAACCCTCTGGCAAGTATTTTTCACCAAAACTTTATGTAAAAGACCTAAAGAATTTATGTATTGGTGGGGTGTCTCTCTATTCATCTGCATACAAATTTTAAGAGCCATTTCCTCTTTATTTTAAGCTCACCTGAGCTGAAAACTTTTTTTGCCTGTTGTCTGTTCGACTGTCTGTAAACTTTACACATTCACAGAAAGAAACAAGACCTTTCAGTTAAAACATAAAGCAAAATATCACCTTTAAGCAATCGCATAATGGTGACTTAATGGTGGCTTATAGAAGTTAATTCCTTTAAGCCACCATTAAGCTGCAGCTTCTAGGTGCTTAATGTCTAAACTTCATTAAGCTACCATTAAGCCACTTTAAGCTGAAGCTTAATGGTGGCCTAATGGCCACACTTAATTAAACTACCTTTACACCTTGTGAGGTTGTGTAGATTCGAAATTGTCCAAGTCATGTCCCATGGGGGTAGGTTGGGGCCGAAATAGGTCTTCCAATCAGAAAATTGGGTGAAGAACAACATGGCCAAAGTTACTCAGGTGAACAGTTTGGCCCATGGACCTCTTGTTCATGACATATTTTTGATTGTGAAGCTTTCCTATGATGCGCAAGTAAGTTAAGACAACGTATAGAGGTTTCTATACAATTGACTAACTAAAACGCATAAGGGCTGAACTTAATGCACAGAAAAAGTTAAAACTTGTTTTCTCATATAAACTTGGTACCCACCACATGCCCTAGCCAGTGCACATTATGACGTCATAGTCCTGTACTACACAAGTTTATAAGGAACATCAACAAAATGGCTTAGGCGCAAGGGCATACTCAACTTTGTTCTTCAGAAACGAGGTATTATTAGACGCAGAATATTACAAGGATTTGTGATATTGCTGCACAAACGTCGACAGTGCAATTGTTTAGTTACTATTTCAAAAGTTTTAAGTTGAAACAGGGTAAAAATTCACTGTCCAGTGTAAGTTTCCTGAAATTTTTATAAATTAAAAAAGCGCCTAGGATTTGTGCAGCAATTTTATTAATTTTTATAATATTCTTCTTTAAATTTTACTTTATTTATTAAAAATTATATAGGATATGCCCTTGTGCTGGCATTATTTTGTTGATGTCTATATTACCTTGAATGGGAAAGATCAGTGACGTCATAATGTGACGTCATAATGTGCAGTTGATTTATAATGCTGTGTGAACTTAGTATGTATAAGAAAATAAGCTTGAACCTTCTCTGTGTAAAAATTACACAAATTATGTGTTTTTATTAGCTCATTTGCATAGAAATACCTCTACCTAGCCTTAACTTACTTGCATGGGTTTGTATTCATCTGCATGGCTATCCTGAGAACCAGTGAATGGCCACAACATCAGTGTTTTCAATTTTCACCCAAATTTCTCTTGTGTATTATTCACAATTTCAAGGGGATTTTCTCTCTAGATCTTTGGAAGAAAATGGACTTAAATATAATGTGTCCACAAATATTGCTTGATTTGGTAGGCCTCAGACAGGGCATTTTCATTCTCCTCTAGTTAATTGTGCAAATCGTTTAACATTTCATTGCAATGCTCTCTTCAAGTTCACATTTAATTATGCTCCCCAAACAAAGAAGGGGATTCAAGTTTGTTCAAATGAAGGGCCACACACTCCTCTAAGGGGAGATAATTATGAAATATTGATAAATTAATGGTTTCTTTTAAAAATCTTCTTCTCAATTGAGAAAAACCAGTGGGCCAGGAAAGATGAAACTCATGTGGAAGCATCCTCATGTAGTGTAAATTCATGTTTGTTCAAATCATGACTCACGGGGGTAGGGTGGGGCCACAATGGGGTATCAAATTTTAACATAGGAATACAAAGGGAAATTCTTTAAAAATCTTCTCAAAAAGTGGGGCAGGAAAGATGAAACTCATGTGGAAGCATCCTCATGAAGGGAAGATTCAAGTTTGTTCAAATCATAACCCCCGGGGTAGGGTGGGGCAACAATGGGGTATCAAAGTTTAAAATAGGAATACATAAAAAAAATCTTTAACATTCTTCTTCTCAAAAACCATGGGACCAGGAAAGATGAAACTCATGTAGAACCATCCTATTGTAGTAAAGATTCAAATTTGTTCAAATCATGACCCCCGGGGAGTGGGATGGGGCCACAATGGGGTGTCTAATTTAACATAAGAATACAATGTACATAGGGAAAATATTTAAAATTCTTCTTCTCAAAAACCACGGGACCTGGGTAATTCCCCGTGCAAATTTTAATCTTCAACATATCCTGATCCTTGTATGTAAGTTTGGTGAAAATCTGCCTGGTGGTTATGGAGAAGATTTTTTAGCAACCAGTACTTTTGGTTTTGTTTTCCTGATTATCTCCCCTTGGTTTTGTTTTCCTGATTATCTCCCCTTGTTTAAGGGTCCCAACCCTTATTTTAGCATAAATGGTAGCCCTTGGGCCAAGGATACCCAGTGACAAATTTGGTACTGATTGGCCAAGGGGTTCTTGAGTTATGGCCCATATTCTTAAAAGTTTACGCACAACGCACAAATGGCCATAGCATTAGCTCTTTGAGCCTTTGGCTCAGAAGAGCTAAAAAAACCAGTAGAGCTACAGTCTCATCAGAGCCTTTGGTCTATTATATATACTGGGTATAATATTTTCAGATACTAATTGGCTTAGAATCATCACTCTTTGTTTGCTGGTGCATATGTGTCCTCAGAATATGTCAATTGAAACTAATTGGTGTAGAATCATCAAATTTTGTTACTTGCATTTTGGGTCATCGATGTACAGTGAATTATTATTTTTAACGAGGCCGAGTCCAATTATTTCTACCGTAGGGATTTTGATAATTTTTTGTCAATTAATTTTTACTGTTATATTTATTGTTTTAAGATTAAAAAATTGAATGTTTACCACACCGATTTCTTAGGGGGCCATCTCAAAAGTGGTCAAATTTTACCATTGGACCCTATGGAAAGAATCTGGGGGGATTAGGCGAGTCATATGCCCACACAGATTTTGTCGCTCTGTAAGCATATCAGAATAGTCGTACGATTTACCTAAACATTTATACTTTGTACAGCATTGTCCAAATGACAATATCTACATTTTTAAACCTTGCTGTTATCGTTACAGTATTTTCAACATGTGGTGCTTTTCATACTGCGTGTTAATTGTTCTATCGAATATGTTTTCAGAGGTTGGGGGATGGTGTGCTTTACCTTTCCTTTTAACTGTTTTTGTTAAGAGAGAACGATCATAGGCATTTATGCCTGCAGTTCAATCCATTTCTTTATGAATAAAATATATTTTAAAGTAACTGTTTTTGTATACGGAACAGCCATACCGTGCTGGTCTACCCATGATTGTTTACATTTCAATTGTGCAAAGTAGTCTTGAACTGAATGCATTCAAAATGTTATATATCTTGAAAACTTGTTTATTATTGGAAATATATAGCAATTGACCGTAAAAAAATTATCTTATTTTTTCACTTTGTTTTTAGTGAAAAAATATTTTAAAATTTTATCTATAAATTTCAACCTGAACTTAAAAAATCGTGATTCGAACACTCGTGACAAATAACTGGCTGCTTCAACACTGCCGCTATGACCACTGAGCCACGAAGTCGCATATACATTACCCTTTAAATAACAAACAGTTCTATATGTATAGCAAGCACACAATTGGACTTAAGAGTTTTTGAGAATATGTTCCGAAATTTAAGTAGGAAAACTAACTTTTTAGCTCACCTGAGCCGAAGGCTCAAGTGAGCTTTTCTGATCACATTTTGTCCGGTGTCCGTCTGTCTGTCTAGCTGTCCGTCTGTCTGTAAACTTTTCACATTTTCGACTTCTTCTCAAGAACCACTGGGCCAATTTCAACCAAACTTTCCACAAAGCATCCTTAGGTAAAGGGGATTCAAGTTTGTTCAAATAAAGGGCCACGCCCTCATTCAAGGGGAGATAATTGGGAATTAATGAAAATTTGGTGGTATGTTTTAAAAATCTTCTTCTCCAGAACCACTGTGCCAGGAAAGATGAAACTTATAGGGAAATAGGGAAAGATCCTCAGGTAGTGTAGATTCAAGTTTGTTCAAATCATGACCCCCGGGGGTAGGGCGGGGCCACAATGGCCGACCAAAGTTTTACATAGAAATATAGAGGAAAATTCTTTAAAAATCTTCTTCTCAAGAATAACAAAGCCATAAGTGATCATATTTATATGGAAGCATCATTAGGTAGTGTAGATTCAAGTTTGTTCAAATGATGACCCCCGGGGGTAGGGCGGGGCCACAATGGCCGACCAAAGTTTTACATAGAAATATAAAGGAAAATTCTTTAAAAATCTTCTTCTCAAGAATAACAAAGCCATAATTGATCATATTTTTATGGAAGCATTTTCAGGTAGTGTAGATTCAAGTTTGTTCAAATCATGACCCCTGGGGGTAGGGTGGGGCCACAATGGCCGACCAAAGTTTTACATAGAAATATATAGGATATTTTTTTAAAAATCTTCTTCTCAAGAATAACAAAGCCATAATTGATCATATTTATATGGAAGCATCCTTAGGTAGTGTAGATTCAAGTTTGTTCAAATCATGACCCCCGGGGGTAGGGGGGGGCCACAATGGCCGACCAAAGTTTTACATAGAAATATAGAGGAAAATTCTTTAAAAATCTTCTTCTCAAGAATAACACAGCCATAAGTGATCATATTTATATGGAAGCATCCTCAGGTAGTGTAGATTCAAGTTTGTTCAAATCATGACCCCTGGGGGTAGGGCGGGGCCACAATGGCCGACCAAAGTTTTACATAGAAATATATAGGAAAATTCTTTAAAAATCTTCTTCTCAAGAATAACAAAGCCATAATTATATATAATTGATCATATTTATATGGAAGCATCCTCAGGTAGTTAAGATTCAAGTTTGTTCAAATCATGACCCCCGGGGGTAGGGCGGGGCCACAATCGCCGACCAAAGTTTTACATAGAATATATGGGAAAATTCTTTAAAAATTTTCTTCTCAAGAATAGAAAAGCCATAATTGATCATATTTATATGGAAGCATTCTCAGGTAGTGTAGATTCAAGTTTGTTCAAATCATGACCCCCGGGGGTAGGGTGGGGTCATAATGGCCGACCAAAGTTTTACATCCTTCCATACCCTTTCAATATTTGTTTACAAAAAAATGGTACGAAGACCCACTCTATATAAAAAACACAGATTTATCATTCATTTTCTATCATTTTTACGGTTACTAAAGTGTGTTACCATTTTGGTGGGTTAATTACAATCAAATTCTATGTCATTTGATTCAGGTTTTATGTTTGCTGTATGCATAGGATTATAAATGATTCTCAAATTTAACAAAAAGTGGAATTTGTAAGAATTTTTAAATTCAATATTTTACCTGCCCTTGCGTAGGCATATGACTCACCTAATTCCCCCAGATTCTTTGTTGGAAAAGTGTCAAAATCACATTTTTCCCATATGTTTTGTATTTCTGCCCTAGAGATTTCTTCTTCAGTCAAGTATATGAAAGTTATTGTAAAAAGTCACCAAATTGTGAAATTTCAAAAAAGTTGACCATTTTGGTTGATCTAGGTCTTAATTACAAAGTTTATTTTTTCGATGCCAGTACCTCTAAAATTGCCATATTGTGGTATAAATACATATCGGTGCAGATGAATTATCGGCGCATATAATTTTTTTGGTTAAAAAAAAAGCAATATTTAGATTGCTAGTATGCTTCCTCTGATGTTCTGTTAACTGTTTTTAGTATAATATCCATGGACTTCTGCTAACATATAAGCGAATCGTGTCATTCTTCAGCGTCGTGCATTGCTTACATAATCAGAAAACAGTGATGTCGTTAGAAATTTAAGCATTTTTTTTCAAATTATTGTCGTAAAATCACATTTTCAGACCAGTAGGCGTGACAAAAAATGTGAATTTTATATTGAAATCACAATATTTGTGGAAGATGCACTGTCTCAGATATGACTGCATGAAATTAAAAAGCTGCGCAAAAGTCATGCGCACTCGAATTAGACTTGGCCTCGTTAAGAACTTAATTCATACAGTTCTGCATGTTTTCAAAGAGAAATAGGGTCATAAAACATTAACTGGCAAGGTTGGAAATATATGCAGCATGATCTGGGCAGGTACAGTTTGGCACAGACAGTTGAGAAAACTTTGGATTGGCATTCTAGTTTGAAAATCCTTTTTAATCCAAAAATCTACAATCCTCAAAGCTTTCATCAGTTCTCTGTATTATATGCCTCAAAAATATGGTGTGTATCTATAACTTATTTAAAAACTATTTTCTTAATCTATTTCAGAATAATCCAAGGAGACCTTACTATTGATATGAAAGTAACATCATGTTGGCTATATGAAGAGAGTGCCATCTTTTGTGTAAATACAAAGATTAATAGATATGTGTATATGAAAGTCCAGGAGTGAATAACAGACAGACATCATTAAAAATATTTTTGTTTGATGTATCCCAGCCCACTTTTTCAATGTCTGTATTAGGTAGTTATTATCATTAAGGTCTTGCATCTTCAGCAGAAGATCTTAGTGTTATTGTTAGGTTTCTTTTCCACTATTATATTATTATTTTTATTATTATTATAGTATTTTTTTTCTATTTTGTGCACGTGGGGTTCTTGAGAACGGCTCGTTCAGTTTTCATGAAAATTTCAGGTCTGATAGAAAAATAAAAAAATTAGATATAATAAATTTTTTCACAGGAGCCTGAAGTTTTTGTCGTCAAAAGAAAAACTCTGGAAAAAAATTTCCCACCCTCAAGTAAAAAAATGCCAAGATGGCAATGTGTTTTAGAGGGACCCACCTAAACAAATAGATCTGGGTTTGGCCAGAAAAATTTCGTGACTAATTCAGTATCTGGAGTGTTTGTGCTACCTATTCAAGTTAAAAAATCCAATCTGCTTGACAACTTCGGGCCATGCATGGCCCTTTTTCCACTTTGACAGCTCATCCTGGACTCCATGCCACTTAACTGGAAGTGAATCCCGAAGTGCTTCGTACAGGATTATTGCTTCTAAAACTTTCAATCGAAAAGTATACCCTGAGAAATTACATACTTTATATAGCTTCTAATTTAAACAACTTTTATGAAAACTAAAGAAAAAATAAAAGTTAAATGTGCTAAAGAAAAATATTGGGTAGGAAGGATTTTGACAGATGGGTCAGAATACATTTAACAAATCAATTTTTATTATTGGCCTCAGTCTTAATCATGTGGGTCATTTGATCCATAGGCACTGGTGACTTATAGTTTTGAAAACAATGATTGAACACTTTTAATAATTGCATGTCAGTTATTGATTTCCTTCTTAATCAGTAAATGGTAGTTTTGGGCAGTCTTTTATCTCTATTGGGCAAAGGTGCAGGCCTTTAGATCGCTTAGAAAAAAAACTGAGGTGTTAAAAAAACATATCTTTTTTTACACACAAATTTTTTTAAGCGATCCAAAGGCCTGTGGGTAAAGGCCAGAAAAGTGATGGTAAGCTGTCAATATATCCTACATGTTTCAACAGATTTCTTATTTTACTTACTTATTTAAGAGATAATGTGACACTGTATTGTGTAAGTATAAAGTTTTTTTACTTGATATTTATTAATTGGCTCATTACCGAGTTCATAACATGAATTTCTGGTACAAATAAGAAGATATGTATCTTTTCAAGTATTTTACAATAAGAATTGAGTTTAACATGATTTAACGAGGCCGAGTCTAATTATTTTTACCTTAGGGATTTTGATAGTTTTTCGTTAGTTAATATTTACTGTTATATTTATTGTTTTAAGATTGAAAAATCAAATGTTTACCACCCCAATTTCTTAGGGGCCATCTAAAAAATTGTCAAATTTTACTATTGGATCCTATGGGAATTTGTTGGAATAGTGCCAAATTATCACATTTTTCCCATATTCTTTGTATTTCTGTCCTTAGAGATTTCTTTTTCAGTCAAGTATATGAAAGTTATTGTAAAAAGTCACCAAATTGTGGAATTTCAAAAAAGTTTACCATTTTGGTTGATCTAGGTCTTAAGAGCCATTCTCTGTAATGATTTGAAATTTTATATAGGAGCTGTGGCACGCTTAGTCTCAGAATTTCTCCAAACTCTCTATGATAAAAGTTATTGATACCCTAAACTGAAATCAGGCAAAAATTGGTTGCTATGTTTTATAGTTACCATGGCAACATGTCTTAAAGTACGAAAAATGGCATTTTTTAACATGTTTTGAGCCTCATAGTTAACATTTGCGGCAAAGCAAACAATTGGCAATGACTGTTTCCAAACGTTGAAGGTCAGATGTCTCAAATGCATGATAAACATGTTTGGTAAATCAACTATTACATATGTTACTATGGTAACAAAGTATTCAAAAGTAAAAAAAATATTCATTGAATTTTATAAAGTCATACACGTTAAAATAAAAAGCAGTTATGGGATGAAATGTGACCAAATAATAGAAAAAAGAGCCTTGGAACATATACCAAGAACAACATATGGTATTTCATTTTGGTTGGCAATGGTTGCCAAGGTTTTTATACCACAGAGAGCCTTCAAAGTAACACTCTGTATGTTTAAATCTGATCCTATCTTTTAAAAAAGCACATTTCCTCACAACTAATGATCAATTTTTAAAGATGTTGGTGTGCTCCTAGTTTTCCCATTTGAAAAAATTCAGATTAGATTCTTTAAATAGAGCGTTGCTATGGAAATAAGCAGAAAATACATGCTTAAAAACCTGAAAAATATTTTCTTTCCTTGGATACGTACCCTTAAATGTAGATACCCAAAACTTTTATGATTGATATTTATTAACAGCTAACCTGACTTTTAATTTTGACTATCATCCAATCTCTAAGTGGATGCAAGAAGTTGGCACACAGGGTTTAATATTGATATAAAGTTCACAAAATCGAACATTTTCCCTTCTTGGTAACCATAGCAACAGTGTTGTTTTCTTCATCAAATTTTATCAATATATGATATTCAACTTCAGTTCTAACAGATAAGTACTATTCAAGCTGAGTGAGTCCTTTAATTTGTTTCTTGATTAAATGGCAATTTAATTCTTAATGCAGCGAAAAATAATTCACTTTTAAGCACTGGTACTTTGTTTCCATGGTAACACTGCAAAGTAGCAATTATACCCAATTTTTCTTATGGTTTTGGTGTTGCAAGGTCCTAAAGATGCATATTTGCCAGTCTTGAATTTTCATGTTTTTCCTGAAGACAGTAGCATTAACCCAATCTTAGTTACTGGTTTTGCATGGTTACACTGTGTTACCATGGTAACCATAAAAGTTATTCATAGAATAATATTGCTTATACTTATATAGTTAAGGTCAAACATTTTCATTGTTTTTCTTAAGTTGCTGATTGAGTTTGAGCATGTAACACCTACCATTAGTGAATACGGAGTGTTTTTCAGCATATTTCAGCATCTTAATTGTATTCCAAATGTACCCTTGGTTACCACTTATTTAGAGATATATTCTAAACAGTTTCTTTACAATATAAGTGACATCAAGGTGTCATGTTTTTGTGAGAATGGTTTGTTTGCTTTTTCTAGTTTTTATTAAGCCACAGTCAAGATTTAAAGTAGCTGAAAATCTCGATTTTTCAAACTTTTTCGGCTGTAGCCATAGCAACCGAGACACATAGCAACGAAATTTTGTTTGATATTTGTTTCTGGTGTCAAGTTCTAAGCTTGGGTGAAGTTTCATCAAAATCGGTGACCATGCGTGGCAACGAAGTTTAAGTGGTTACAGAGAATGACTATTAATTACAAAGTTTATTTTTTTGATGAATAATACCTCTAAAATAGCCATATTGCAGTATAAATACATATCTGTGCTGATGAATTATCGGCGCAGATAATTTTTTTTGGTTAAAAAATAGCAATATTTAGATTGCTAGTATGTTTCTTTTGATGTTCTGTCATCAGTTATTAGTATAATATCCATGGACGTCTACGAACATATAAGCGAGTCGTGAGTCATTCATCAGTGTCATGCATTGCTTACAAAATTGGAAAACAGTGACGTCGTTAGAGCCATTTCAGCGTTTTTTTCTAATAATTGTCGTAAAATCACATTTTCAGACCAGAAGGCTTTACAGATAATGTTAATTTTATATCAAATTACAATATTTTGGAAAGGTGTACTGTCGCACTTATGACTGCATGAAAATAAAAAGCTGCACAGTTTCAAACACACTCGAATTAGACTCAGCCTCATTAAGCTAATAATATTTTATTCCACACTGAAGTCAACTTGTACACAAGTTGTGAACATGTTATAAATTTTGAAGAAAAAAAAATTCTGAAAGCTCAAAAGAGAAATATTTTTAAAAGATGCTTGAATTTCTGATTGTACCGACAATATCTATGTGGTTTTTATATGCCCATCTTCAGACGGGACGTATTATGTTATACATGTAGTGTTCATGTCCGTCCATCCGTCTTTTAGCTTTATTGTGTCCAATTCATAACTTTAATACTATTAGCCCTAGAAATAATATCAAACTTTGTCACCTGATACATATTGAGTAGAAGATTAATATTTCATGTATTTTAATTATCCCCTCTCGCAACTAGATACGGAGGGGATATAGCATCGTGAATGTGCGTATGTGTATGTGTTAGTGTGTCCATTACAGCTTGTGGGCAAGATTTACAGAGAACCTTTTCATTAACCACTCTCAGCCTTTAAATACTTATGTGGCACTATAAAAGGATGAAGCCTATTCATTTTCAAATTTATCAATAGAATATTTCTTAAAATATAGCATTTTTACTACCTCCTAACCCTGAAATTTTATGTACGACTTGACAATGCTCACTTCCGCTTATTTGGGTTGCTTCAATAGGGAAAAGAGTACCAATTAATTTCCCATAGAACTCTATACAAACCTTATGCCCTCCCAGTTATTTACTAATTCCTGATATCATTTGAAAGTTCGTTCTAAGCACTTATTAAAAACATGAAAAAAAAAAAATACCATGCCGCAACGTTTATAGGTCAAATTTGCAGTTATTTAGAACTTACAGCGATCGGCAGTAAATGATACCCTGCCAAAAATATCAGTCCCCTTTTCTACAATCTCCCCTGATATTTATATTTTCTGTAATATTCCTACATTCCATCACTTATTTCAAATATTAATATTTTTATTTTAAAATGAAAATATTTACACACCTGAATTCAGCCAATCAGGTAAAGCCTACCCATTTAGTACTCTGCTTCATCTTGTTCAACCAGGAAATGATGTCAAACTTTCGGTGCATTGGTACTCTTTTTCCTGTAAACTGACGTTTTATGTATATCTTGTTCAACCAGGAAATGATGTAAACTTCCGGTGCATTGGTACTTACATATTTACCTATCCCAGAATTAGTCAATTTTGTAATTTTCAAAGACCTTGTACTTACCAATATACATGTGTGAAATTTGAGGCCTGTCACTTCAGTGTCTGGGAAACTGTGACCATCTTAATGAATGACCCCTTCCTGCTGCAAGCACTGTTCCAGAGAGTGAAAAACTTCATTCCTGTGATGAGATCTGGATACAGTTGTGACTGTAATGAATATAATATTTATAAAATCACATGATTTTGTTTTTTGATGTTAATAAAATGATATAAAGTCTCATCTGTGTCAATTTTTTCATAGGGGTGGATTCTACCCAGAATAAGGAAAAAAGCTCCAAAATTTGATAAATCATAGCTAATTCAGCAAAATTGAAAGGTTTTAAAAAGACTGATGTAGAATTTTTTTTATGCTTATGCAAAGAAAATTATTTAAGAGTTTGATATACTAATTGATTCTTATCTAACCCCTCCTGTTGCTTAAGTATATACAAAAAAGTTCCCCCACCCCCAGTGAAAGACACTTACAGAAATAGCAGGTGTCCCCTATTATATTTGTTTACAATTAATTTAGACGAGAAAATCAATCCTTTTGATAACAAATCAAAGTTCACTATCTGATAGTCTTATACAGTACAACCATAAGCTACATTACTGAGTTTCATGCTTTAAAAAAGGGGAATTAATTCACTGATTAATTTGTAAAAAATCAAAAAATGCAAAAATTTACTTCAAATCCCAAAATGTACTATACAATAAGAAGCTGGAAAGCTGATAAATGGAAAATTTACTTGCAATGTACAGAAATCTGTCCGACATAATATATCAGGTGGGTAGCGAGTCTCCATCTTCTAATATAGAGAAAATCCCCCTGCTGATCAGATATACCCAGCTCTCCCAGGTCTGAGGAAGCTGAAAGATGAAAGTCCCCATAGTGTTTAAATGAAAATAAATCAATAAAGTTATAGTCAAATTAAGCATGAATCATAAAGAAAACAGCAATATTTTTCAACTTTTCCAAAAAATTACCAAATTACATATCTTCTACATAGCTGAATGTTAAAAAAATGGATCCGTCAAGGGCGGAGTAGAAGTTTTATAATATTACATGTGATTACATGTAAATATTATTGAAGTCAAATGTAATACATACAGTTTAATGCCATTCCAACAATTCATGAAAATAAATCCTAAGTCTAAGGTCACAATAATTAAGATTTTGTCATGTTGAAATTCTACATGTCTGGTTAGCAAGTCTAAGGGAAGTAACTCTAAGTACAAAAACTGGAAAGCAGTAGAAAATGAGTTGCAGAGAGTCACACAGATGAAACTAGATAGAGCAAAAAAGGGAAAACACAGACCTTTGTGTAGCTACAATACAGAAACAACCAAACTACAAGTTGATCACCCCGCAGTCCAAGGGAGGCAATCCAGAGGATCACATTCACTACCGACATGAGATGTCAAGACAGAAAATGCCCTCCTTTCACATGAACACCACTAAAGGCACTTTTATGAGCCAACAAAATTATTTGAAAAGATACCAAACGTACAAATGTCTAAGAAACTAAATAGAAATTAACACCAGGCCACCATTCTACACTTCCATAATGTACACATATACAGAAAACCATATAAATACACAGTCATGTGTACATGCAAAGTACATACATTTATAAATTTATGTATACGTACAAATATTTATCATAAGAGCAATCTGATACATTTTCTTAACTTACCTTCCTCCTCTGGCCATGTCACCTGTACAGTGGCTTACCAATTTCTATCCTTTCTACTCCCCCCCCCCTCCCCCACCCCTTTATATCTACAAAGGACCCAAATCACCTCTTACCCAAATTCCACAGAAAAATAATTCAAATTTTTGCTAATTTTTTTTTTTCGAAATGTCTTCAATATTCAAATAAATAGCTAAATATAACTTTTCATTACTTTCAGTTCACTTTACATTTTAAAAATTGGGGTCTCTGTAGGGAAAAGAGTACCAATTAATTTCCCATACTGATAGAACTCTATACAAACCTTATGCCCTCCCAGTTATTTACTAATCCTCTTTCAAACAAATCTCTGATATCATTTGAAAGTTCGTTCTATGCACTTATTAAAAACACGAAAAAAAAATATACCGTGCCGTGGCGTTTATAGGTCAAATCTGCAGTTATTTAGAACTTACAGCGATCGACAGTAAATGACACCCTGCCAAAAATATCAGTCTCCACTTCTACAATCTCCCCTGATATTTCTATATTTTCTGTAATATTCCTACATTCCATCATTTATTTCAAACATTTATTTTTACTTTAAAATGAAAATATTTAACCCACCTGAATTCAGCCAATCAGGTAAAGCCTACCCATTTAGTACTCTACTTCATCTTACTAACGTTTTATGTATATGAGGCGCCGTTTTAATATTTTTGAGATATTTTCTGATATCAAGAAAGAAATTATTGATCTCAATAATTCGAATACTTGATATCAAAAAATAATTTTTTTGATATCAAAAAATCATTTTCTTATATCAAAAATTCGAATTCTTGATATCAAAAATGATTTTCTGGTATCAGAAATTCGAATTTTTGATATAAAAAAATCGTGTTTTTTTTATATGAGAAAATGTTTTTTTTCTTAAATCAAGAAATCGAATTTTTGATATCAGAAAATCGTTTTCTGATATCAAAAAAGAATCAAGAATTCTTTATATCAAGAAAAACATTTACTGATATCAAAAAATCGATTTTTTTGATATCAGATAATAAGCAAGATTTTTTGATATCAAAAATTCGAATTTCTGATATCAGAAAATCTTTTTTATATCAGAAATTATCTTTTTTGATATCAGAAAATGATTTTTTGATATCAAAAAATGATTGGTATTTTCTGATATTAAAAAAATCGATTTTTTGATATCAGAAAATAAGAACCAAGTAAAATTACGATCGACTTAATGAATGTTTCCCGTGATAAACACTGAGATTCCCGCCACACAAATTTGTTGCGAACTTTGTTGGGTTCTGACAAGTTTAAAACATCTCTGGATGTTAGGGTACCGTCTTTTTTTTGCACTATTGACGATATTTTTAATCGATCATTTCACAAACTTTATTGATAGCTCAGACTTCACCTTGAAAAATGAACTTCTGCTACCACACAACGAGTACTTGCTGGTCAGCTGTGATGTAACATCACTTTACACAAAATCAATTGGAGAAGCTAATGGCTGCTGTTGATAGGGGTTACAGAGAAATTCACAGTCTAACCCCGACCTTCAGCACACGTAGATTATTTACTCAAATTTATTCCAAATTGAAAAGTAATATATATGAATTCCATATGAGAACACTTTTTAAATTCTTTCATTAGAAAAATAATATTCTTAAATTCTGAAATCAGCAAACTTTAGTAGAAAGCAAATCTAAAACTGAAGTTTGAGATTTTTCTGCAGTTCATGGTGGTATTCATTATATTTGTGAAGATTCTTCGCCATTTTATTTTATTTTCTGATATCAAAAAATATATTTTGTGATATCAAGAAATCAATTTGAATTTCTGATATCAAGAAATCATTTTCTGATATAAGAAAATCGATTTTTTGATATCAGAAAATGATTTCTTGATATCAGAAATTCGAATTTTTGATATCAGAATATGACATATTTTTGATGTCAACAATTCGAATTTTTGATGTAAAAAAATTACATTTTTTGATATCATAAAATCCCGAAGATTTTTTGATATCAGAAAATATGAGGCGCCGATATCGAAAAAGAAATTCTTGATATCAATAATTTGAATTCTTGATAACAAAAAATATTTTTTGATATCAAAAAATATATTTTTTGATATCAGAAAATCATTTTCTGATATCAAAAATTCGAATTCTTGTTATCAAAAAATGATTTTCTGATATCAGAAATTCGAATTTTTGATATCAAAAAATCTTGTTTATTTTCTGATATCAAAAAATCGATTTTGTGATATCAGATATATGATTTTTTGATAGCAAGAAATCGAATTTTTGATGTCAGAAAATCATTGATGTGAAAAAAGAATCAAGAATTCTTGTTATCAATAAATCAATTTTTTGATATAAAGAATTCAAATTCTTGATATAATAATAAGATAACTTATAACATAAGATAACTTGTATTTTCTGACATCAAGAAATCGAATTCTTGATATCAAAAAATAATTTTTTGATATCAAAAATTCTCTTTTTTGATATCAGAAAAAGATTTTTTTGATATCAACAAATGATTTGTATTTTCTGATATCACAAAATCGATTTTCCGATATCAGAAAATAAGAACCAAGTAAAATTACGAGAGATTTAATGAATACTGATGTGATGATTATTCAGCCACCCGCCATACTAATATGTTGCGAACTTTTGTTGGTTTCTAATAAGTTTAGGACAAGTCTGGGTGTTAGGAAGCCGTCGTCTTTTGTACAGGGTTTTAATAATTTTGGAGAAGCTAATGGCTGCTGTTGAAAGGGGTTACAGAGAAATTCCCAGTCTAAGCCCGACCTACATGCAGTACACCTAGATTATTTACTCAGATTTATCCCAAAAAGTAACAATTTAAATTCCATGCAAATAAATATGACCAAAAAATATCAAGAACACTTATCAAATTCTTTCATTGATAAAATATTCTTTAAAATCTAAGATCAACAAATTTTAGTGGAAAGCAAATCTGGCAGTGAAGTTCGGGATTTTCTACAACCCAAGAGAGTATTCATTATTTACGTGAACATCCTTCGCCATTTTATTTAATTTTCTGATATCAAAAAATATATTTTGTGATATCAGGAAATCAAATTGAATTTCTGATATCACAAAAATCATTTTCTGATATCAGAAAATCGATATTTTGATATCAGAAAATGATTTCTTGATATAGAATTCGAATTTTTGATATCATAAATTACGTTTTTAGCTCACCTCGACGAAGTCGAGATGAGCTTATGCTATACCCCTGGCGTTGGCGTCGGCGTTAGCGTCGGCGTCCCAGGTTAAAGTTTTAGGAGCAAGTCCATTCCCAGGTAACTCTAAGCCCTACCTGAACTAAACTTGCATGGATGATGCATCTAGGGATGTACACTACCAGACTTGCTTCGGATGCTGGATCTGACCTACATTTCCTAGATGAGTGATCAGGTTAAAGTTTTTAGAGCATGTCCATTCCCAAGTAACTATAAGCCCTACCCGGACAAAACTTGCATGGATGATGCATCTAGGGATGGACACTACCAGACTTTCTTC